GAATGGCTCAGAACAAGAAATAACAGAACTCATGTTGAAAGTACTGTCTATTAGCCAACATTTATAAACAGAACACCCCAAAAGAAAATGGTCACATGATGCACACAGGTAAATCATTCCAGGAGAAACACAAATTGTTAATAATAAAAAAGATATACGGCCTCCCTTGTGATGCAAAGGGTTAAGCACCACTATGAAGCTATCCGCAGTCTCTGCAGCACGAGTTCGATCCTGGCGGCCAGGGCTATCCACATGCGCAGCAGACTTCTCCTGTTTTGCCCACTGCCCCACAGTGTATTTCGGTCAATCTGCTTATTCCATTCTCCACTCTGTCTCTGGTGAATCCTCTCAGCCCCTGCACCTCTGGCCTGTACCCTAGTTTTGCATGCATAAATAAATAAATCTTCAAAAAAATAATAAAAAGATATTACTAGTTATTTTCTCATTTTCATGATTGCCAGCAACAGAAACTGAAGCTGTTTAGTTTCAGCAATAAAGGGATTTACAGGAAGCCTATCAGGCTAGCTCACTGAATAAACAGAGCTGGAGAAACAGGCTTGGGCAGAAACCCGGAGGGAGACATCAGTAAGAACTTGGCAAAAGAGCAGCCAGCTGGGTATTCACTGCCACTGCTGGACATTCACTGTCACTGCTGGACCATTGCTGTCACTGCTGGACCATCACTGCCTCCACTGGACCCTCACTGCCTCCGCTGGACCCTTACTGCCAAACTGCTGAAGATAGAACTACTAATTCACCAACTTGCTGTATTGTCTCCAACTGTCCTTGAATCAGTAATTCCAGAGCCATGTCCATGTGGGAGCCTCTGAGTGGTCTTTCTTCAGTCATCTGCCTGGACCCTTGCTTTTAGGGGTGGAAGGTGAATACTTTCCCTCTGCCCAGTTTTTATAACAGGAGATTGATTTGCCCTGCCTAATTTGGTATCCCAAATGGGAAGTCTATTTAAGATGTTGGATAACCGAGAGACTGGCCTATGATATTCACCATCACTCATTCAAATACCAGCACATTAATATGTCATCTTTTGTTCATCACATGTTTGAATGTGGAAAGACTGAGAAACTCAACACTGTCTTGGCATTGGGAAATGTGTTCCTATTTTTTATTGGCAGAATAAAGCCTTTCTGGAGGTCACCCTGACAATAGGTGTCAAATAGGACACATACATACCCTTTAGTCCAAAGTGTCAGCTTAAGGGGAGAGTTGCAGAGATGGACGTAGTTTAGATCATAATGCTATTCAGTGTGCTGTTGTTACTAATTTGTGTTTTCCTAGCTTGGGGGATAAGGTATTCCATACTGCTGAATTATATATGGGGACTGGAGGGCTCCTACCCGAGGAAGACCAAGAATTGTACTTTACTAGACTTTAGAGACTGAGAATCAACCCTCCTGATTACTGCAGAGCTATACCAATTATGTTTTGGATTTCAGCTACATGCTGGTAGAAGCAGCAACTAGGTAGAACTGGGCTAGATCAGGGGTGATGTTCAAAGAGAGTCAAAGGGCATCACCATCCCTAAATCAAGGGAGACAGATCTGATGACAGGCTTAGCCCTAACTTCTCTGAAGCACATGAGAGCAGTGGGATTCCAAACATTAGCTTGAACTAGTAACAGGAAGGCTGAAGATTGCTTACAGCAGTGAGGAGAAAACCAGATCCCGGCCAATTCTACATCAGACTTGGTTTTGAATTTTCCAGTTCTAATTAAAGTTCAATGTCTTAGATTGGGTTTCCCTGCAATCAGAGCCTGAGACAGGATCTGGGTGCAGGTAGTTTCATTGGAAGATGATTCTGGAAGCAGGAGTGAGAAAGCAGGAAGGCTGAGACAGGGAAGAAGGGAAATCTACAAAAAGGTGTGTTATATTCTGTTTACGACTGAGTAGGGCTCCTACCTCCTGGGGACTCTGAGGCATCTGTTGGCTATGCCTCAGCCTCATCCATCCAAAGCATAGGAGGCTAGGCTGTTTACCCACTCACTGGTGTTTCCACTGGTTTCTGATTGCCCTGTTAATTTAGTTCCACGTTGTGAGCTCCCAGGTTTTGGAGAAAACCCTCAGACAAGAAAGCAGAGAGATAAACAGCTTGATGTGGGGGTTGTCACATGCAGTGGTTTACATAGCTTATAGCTATGGTTGCAGCTGGAGATGGGCTCTGAGCATAAGACATGGGGGATGAAAAGCTTTTGTTATGCTTAATTTTCTTGTGAAGTAATTTATTTATTCATTCAACTAAGCATTTATTAGATTTATGGTTGGTGCTGGGCCTCCATGGTGAGCAAAACAGAGTCTCCGTTTTAAGAGCTGCTCTTTCATTTCGGCAGATTTTGACCAAACTTGATGGGTGCTATGAGCATCTGACTCCAAAGTGGAGAAGTGCAAACAAAAACAAAAAAGAAGCTAGTTGGGAAACTATCTTTGGGACTTAATTTGCAAGTTGGCTTGACATCTAGAGAATCCATAGCCTAAACACCCCCCTTACTGCCATAAGCCAACAGTTTTTACATCATGGCTGGATCTTACGAGAACATTGCGCTAAATTGCCTGAAATGCCACCAAAAGCCATTCCTTTTTTTCTGTCACCCCCTCCTCCACAATTTCCATATTTAAAAATTGCAAACATGTCTTGCAAAGATTGAGGTACTTTAGTATCAACTATCAGTTTGCTCTCTTTTGATGTCCAGATGAACTCAAAATGCAGCGAGGAATGCATATCTAGGTGGGAATGGAGGTAATCTGAGGGCTAACACAGAGCTAGGATTGGGGGGCACCCTAAGTCTTGCTTACTGTGGGGTGGGAGGCCAGCTGTAGAAGCCATTTACCTTGAAATGCGGTTTAAGATGGGCTTTGTATTTCGTTTTGTTTTGAAATCAGGGCCCTTCCCTGATTTCTGCAGCAACCAGGACTCAGGCTGAGTAGGGTTAGCAAAGAGGAGACTCCTTAGAGAGGAGGTTACAAACCAGTATCTTTTGAGCTGAAGACAGCACAAAGATGTGCTTTTCCCCCCTGCACTATTTTTTTTTTTTTTTTGTTAATTGGACCAACATTTAAAAATGGGATTTCTACTTTCTCCTAAAATATCAGATGATGTGGCAACACCGAGCCCTCATTTCCTGATGGGAACATTTGACTGGGGCTGAGTGGCAGTTACCTCCTTTAGAAGGATGTTGATTTGCACTTGGCCATAGTCCACACCATTCCTTATATTGCTCCTAATTCTGAGAGCTCAATCACTTGAAGTATGAATAGGTCAGATTAAAAAAAAAAAAAACAAGCAACAACAAATGCTGGCAAGGATGTGATGAAAAAGGAACTCTCCTACATTGCTGTTGGGAGTGCAAACTGGTCCAACCACTATGGAAAGCTGTCTGGAGATTCCTGTCTACTAAAAATGGAGCTACCATACGACCTGTAATTTCACTCCTAGGGATCTACCCAAAGGACACAGAAACATTGATTCAAAAGACCACCTGGACCCCTATGTTTACTGCAGCACTATTTACAATAGGTAAAATCTGGAAACAACCCAAATGCCCCAAAATAGATGACTGGATCAAGAAGATGTGGTATATATACACAATGGGATATTATTCAGCAATCAAAAAAGTTAAACTCATGCCATTCGCAGCAATGTGGATGGAACTAGAAGAAATTATGTTCAATAAAATAAGCCAGAAGGAAAAAGAAAAATATCGGATGGTTTCACTTATAGCAGCCATATAGGGGAACCAAATAAGACATCAGTGTAAAAAAATAGTGACAGTACAAAACACAACAAAGCAAAACAGACAATTATAAATCAGAGACATCCTGCAGGGGAGGAGGTGGGAGAGGGATCAGAGGGAGGGAGGGAGGCGCACAGGGGACTGAGGTGATGATGCACAGGTGCACTGGTGAAGGAAACTCTATGGGGACTACACCTGAGCGGGTGGGGGGAGGCAATATTGTTTAAAAATGAGCAATGATGTAAAAAACTTAAAAAAATTAATATAAATAAATAAAAGTTAAAAAAAACTGTAAAAAAAAAAAAAAAGAATGATGATGGAAACACCAAGATTCTTCACTCACTGGCATGTGAGTCCCTGTGATATTTGTAGGTTAATGACCTTTCGTTGAGAGGTCAAGTCCGGGGACTTGGAAACAAATTTGGGTTTGAATCCGAGGAGTAGTACCATTTTCAGTCATCGAAGATGAAAGCTGTTGCAAGCGCAGCACAATGCTCGGGACGCGGCTGCTGTCATCAGCATCCGCAACCATCAGCCGAACGATGAATGAATGGGGGTAGAGTTCCTCGGGATGTTAAGGGCCGGTCTGAAAAGGAAGGCAGTTCTGGTAACACCATTTCCCTAGGCCTCCAAGGCGCGGCCTCGAGGAGCTGCCCGCCAGGACGTGCCAGGCTCCGGCGGCTTTGGGGTCCCCAGGGAGCCGGGCGGGGCTGGGTTGCACAGGACTGGTCAGAGCCAAGCCCGTCATTTCCCCAGGGTCCCGTCCAGGGCGGCAACCTGACTCCGGCACTTTCCGAGGGCCTCCCCCACCAGAGCAGCGATGCCCCGCGCCCGCCGCGGGCCAGGGCTCACCCCGCGGGAGCCGGCGCTCTTCCCCGCGCCGGGTCCGTGCCCCTACTAGACATGGCCTCCCCGGGGCTTCACGCCGCAGCACCGCGCCCGGGGCCGCGAGTCATCGCGTCTGGCCGGAGCGGCGGCCTCGCGCCCGCAGTCAACATGGCGGCCGCGGCGGCTTCAGCGCGGGGCGGGCGGCGCCGGGAGGCGGGTCACGTGAGCGGCCCAGCTGGGCGGGTCGCGCGCGCATCCGCACGCCCCGCCGGCCGCTGCTCGCGGGCTCGCTCGGCGGCGCTCTGAGGTGCGCGGGCGTCGGGCCCGGCCGGGGGAGGCGCGGCGGGCGGGCGGGATGCGGCGGCCGCCGGGGCTGGGCCGCGGGCCGGGCGGGCGGGCGCGGTGATGAGCGTCGGCGGCCGCCGCCATGTCCAAGGTAACGGCGCCCGGGCCCGGGCCGCCGGCGGCGGCGGGCGGGAAGGAGAAGCGCTCCTTCAGCAAGCGGCTGTTCCGGAGCGGCCGCGCGGGCGGCGGCGGCGCGGGGGGCCCCGGGGGGCCCGGGCCGGCCGCGCCCGCCTCGCCCTCGTCCGCGCGCTCGGTGGGCAGCTTCATGAGCCGCGTCCTCAAGACGCTGTCCACGCTCTCGCACCTGAGCTCCGAGGGCGCCGCCCCGGACCGCGGCGGCCTCCGCAGCTGCTTCCCGCCCGGGCCGGCCGCCGCGCCCGCGCCGCCGCCCTGCCCGCCGCCGCCCGCCGCGCCCGCGCCGCCCGCCTGCGCAGCCGAGCCGGTGCCCGGGGTGGCGGGGCTCCGGAACCACGGCAACACGTGCTTCATGAACGCCACGCTGCAGTGCCTCAGCAACACCGAGCTCTTCGCCGAGTACCTGGCGCTCGGCCAGTACCGGGCGGGGCGGCCCGAGCCCTCGCCCGACCCCGAGCAGCCCGCGGGCCACGGCGCGCAGGGCCAGGGCGAGGTCACCGAGCAGCTGGCGCACCTGGTGCGGGCCCTCTGGACCCTGGAGTACACCCCGCAGCACAGCCGCGACTTCAAGGTGAGCCGCGTGGCCCCGATCCGCGGGGAGGGCCCGGCACCCACTGCCGCGGGTCTTGACCCGGATCTCTGCCTTGGTTGGCCACAGAGGTTTGCGTCCGGGTCTGGGATACATGGCACTGATGGTAAGGGAGATCCATCCATTCATTGGGGTCTGGGATACATGGCACTGATGGTAAGGGAGATCCATTCATGCACGCATGCATGAATGCACGCATGCCACCGATTGTCAGGGAGGCCCATCCATGCATCCTTTCATCCATCCATCATAAGAACGTGCTGTGATGCCAGTTGCCGTGTCGGGCACCAGGGAGGGCTGTGACAATGAACAAGACGCCCTGCCTTCATGGCACTTAGATTCTTGGGAGTGGGCGTGTAGAGCCTATAGACCTGCTGCTTACTCGTACTGTTCTAGTAGTGTGACCCTCAGCAACTTACTCAACCTCTTTGTGCCAGTTTCTCATCTGGAACTTAAGGTGGTTGTGAGCTGCGGACAAGTTGATAGGTTGGGTTGAACTCTTAAATTACTAATTTTTCACCATTTATGGTTGACAGATTGGCACTTTTTTAGGGTTCAGTCTCATATATAAAAGGCTTGAATTGTCTATTTGCTATTATTTTTATTATTAAAGACTAAAAATTACCGAGATAATATCAGATGGTAGTTTGAAGCAAGTCAAACCTGGTTGTGATTGCTGAGCTGGCTGGCTGCCTTATGTAGGGGAGGGAGCAGGATTAGGGACACCTCTTGAAGAGGTGGCTTTTTAGCTGAGAACTAGTATCCACAGAAAGAGCTGGCCTTGGGGAGCTCAGGGTGAAACTGGTCCCAGGACAAGGGAAGGAAGAAAGTTGGGAGGTGGAAAGAGCCTTGTACACTTGAGGAGCGCTGTCGCTCTGGGCTGGGCAAACTTTCAGAAGAGGGTCAGAGAGTAAGGTAAGTATTTTAGGCTTTGCTGATGCAGATGCAAAATCAAGGATATTATGTTGGTACTTAACATAACAAGAGAAAAATTCCTACAGCATTTCATTGATTAAAAGAAAAACATAATAATTGGGTGTAATATTTTTGTAATACAGGTCTAATGAGAAGAATGGAGTTCTTTTTTTTTGGGTGGCCTAATGTTTAACTTAACTGGAGTTCAAAATTAGCATTTGCTGTCATCCATTGAGTACAAGTATTCATTTCTATACATCATTGATTAGAAATATTTATTTCGACAAATCGTCATCTTCTGTTTTGCTGGTGAAACTGAAAGTATAGAGGGGAGGTGGGGGAAGTGAGGTGTGTGGGGTGGCCTGTGGGAAGAGCTGAGTGGTGATGGGAGGCCATGTAGATTGCACTGAGGATTTGGGCTCTAAAGCAAAGGAGGAAGGTGATTTGAGAGAGAATGAGGAGTGGAGATGAATCTAGTATGAAATGGAATGAAATCATACAAAGAGAAGGTTAATTCCTCTCCACTCTCTTTCTTTTCCCACCATGCACAGCGGAAAGTCTGGGGTGGGGAGTAGATTGTCCTCAACACCTCTTGCTCACTCCCCCACCTTTTTTTTCCCTCCCTTCTTCAACAAGGAGAACAAGCTCTGACTTCAGAGACTTAGGGAGGCAACAGTAGCTAGGATTTAATAAGATTATGTTTTCATTTGGTTTGTTTTTACATTTGTCTTCTATTTATGGCAAATGGTATCAACTTCCATTGGTGCTGTGAACTTTTTTTCTAAAATATATCTGTTTATGTAAAAATCAATGATTTGACTAAAATATAAAATGATATTCTGCGTGAGGAGCCAGTACTTGGTTGAGGACCTGCTTTCTGCTCAGGGAACAACACGGCCAGGGTGTAGTCCTTGCCTTTTAATAGATTTTATTTATTTATTAATTTATTTATGCCATTCTGTCCTGTTTTTCTAAAAAAGAAAAACAGTGGTTGCTCTTTGGTCTTGGAACTTTGAATGGAAGTACTTGCCTGGGATAAGGACTGGAAGAAAAATGCAATTCATGTCAAAGACCTCAAAGAAAGTGGAGACTGGCAACTCACTGGCTACTGAGAGTCTTTCCTGTAATAGCCACGGCCGTTGTAAACTTTCCAAGGTCAGAGCCCAGTGTTTTCAGTTTGGTTTTCTCCTCTTTTCTAAAATGTGAAAAATCAATTTCCATAGCATCTTTGCACACCAACATTTCTATTGCTTGTTTAAAGGTTGCATTCACTTTTCTATCCATTAAGAAGCTGTGAACAGAAATGGGTCAATAATTCTAGAAATGCAAAGACTGATTTATAAGCCTGCTTTGGCAAAGTTGAACAGATTCTTAGAGGCCCCATTTTTTAAATTCTAGAAATACAGAGATTGACGTGTAGGTAGTTTGACCTAAAAGTTCCACTTCGTTTGACCAAGTGGAATAGGTTCTTAGAAGCCTTACTTTAAAAAATAATTCAATCTTCTGAAACTTTAGAATTCACGTTGCCTTCATTCATTCACTTCCAGTGTATTGAAAGTTTACTTAGGAATGAATCCAGCACAGGCAAGAGGAAGTCCTAATAATGATGCCTTAAGCACCAAATGTGTTGATTTAGCTTACACTCTAAGTCTGCAGGTTACTCTTTTCTTAGGTGCAATGGTGACTTGATGGGCCCCAACAACTAGCTAGACCATTTCTGTGTTCCTGTCAAGTTGTGTTAGCTGTTACTAGTTTTTTGTCATTAATGTTTCTTATCTCCCAGCATTCTACCCAGTTGAGGCAGGAAATTATTAGGGAAGCTCCCTTGGCAGGCTTCGGACATCTCATTCACTATAACCCTATCATTATGCCACTCCTGGCTGCATAGGAACTGGATGGTGGGATAAAGTATTTGGGTTTTCTTGCCTTATTACCACTTAGCCCCCCAAAGTGCCTCACCATGTATGTGCCAGGCACTTCCATTTGGGGAGGACACCATCTGCCTGTGAAGAGCTGGGTCTCATGGAAACTGGAAAGTTCCTTCTCACATTTTACTGTGCACAAAATTCACCTTGACATCTTTTTACCTTTGGTAAACCTGGGGTGGGGCGAGAGACTACATTTTTAATATATTCCTAGATGATGCCAGTGCTGTTGGTCCAAGGACCACCCCTGTAGTCTCAGGCTCCAGGAACAAATAAAGAAAGCATCACACACAGCAGTGTTCAAAGGCTGAAGAGAGATCGCCAGGCAGAGAAGTGGTGGAAGTTGCATCAAAGGACATGTAGTTTTGGGGGAATCAGAAACATTTGGTGGCTTGTTACACCATGGAGAACTGTGGGAGAGCAGAACGCCTGGAGGAAGTCTATTGTAACTGGATTGGGATGGGCTTTGTGGGTTCTGCTTTGGGAAGGGCTGGGCTTGATCCTCTGGAAGTTGAGAATCCAGAGCTAATGTTTAAAGTAGGGGAGTGATGGCATCAGATTTCTTTCCTTCTTAACCTTCTCTCCCCCTACCCCCAACACACCCCCTTCCCATTTAGGTAAGCCTGGTGGCACTGTGGAGGATTTATTTTTTTAAATGTTTTGTTGTAGCCAAATTTGATTATTTTGAACATAAAGTTCAACATAAAGAAAGTGCATTTGAGGTGTGTTGCCATGTCCCGCACCTGTGTCTATCAGTATATTTGATGCAGCTATTCTTTGAGCTTGCATTCAGCTGCAGAATCTGCTCAGTTAGGAGCTCCTGAGGGCTATTACCAGTTGACTGGGGTTGGCAGAGGAGACAAAACCAATTTGCCATCTTGAGATGATTTGCTTTGAGGTCTCAAAAGCACTTAATATATCTGTGCTTTTATCGCCTTAAAACTTCCTTAAGTGACTAATGATTTTTCTTTGTTAGTTTTTCAACTAGACTTCTTTCTTGCTTTCTAACCACATTGAGTTGAACTTCAGGAACTTGCCAGATATATGGGCTTTGAGTTTTGGATGAGTTAGATTGTTGTTAAGATTGGATTTTCATTTCCTGGAATAAGATGGGTTGACGGGCCCAAGCTTGTTGCGCTTGAGAAAATTCAGCCACTGCCACCTACATCCTTTCTCTTTTAATGCAGGCTTTTTGCCTCTTGCTCTCGGAGCCATGTTTTTTGATCATGGCCTTTTAACAAACATCGCCACCCCCTCATTCCTTGGGAAGTTTGGTGAGGTCTGGAGACATACTTGGTTTTCACAACTGGGTGGGGTACTACTCACATCTTGGTGGGGACTCCAGGGATGGCGCTAAATGTCATGTAACTTGAAGGGACAGCTCCCCTTCATGAATTTAGTGCTGAGTTTGAGAAACTACTGGAAGAATGTTTTGGGTCTCCTTAACAGTTTCTTCTTACTTCTGGCTTGAGAGCAGTTATTTTGTTACTTTTTCTTCTATCTTTCTTTGCAACAGCCCTAGAGTAAAACTTGATTTCTTTGGTAGAACCCTTGAGTTATTTTCTTAAAATCATGAGAATAAGTAAATAATTCATTTTGAAACTTGACTTTTAATATGCTGTCTTAAGAGGAAATCAGTTTATTGCCTTCAGTAATATGCTGGCCTGCTCTAGCTTACAGATGCCCTCTGATTTCTAGTACTCAGTTGCTTTTTGCAGTAAGAGATGGATGATTATCTTTTAAGTAATAAGGATAAGTTTTACAGTTCCATGCTCTCAAAGAAGAACTAGAACAGAGTGAGCTACTGATAAAAGGACTGTGGGACTCCTTCCAAATTTGCAGTAAAACAAAAAGAAATCGATGAAGAGGATTTTGTCTTCCATATTTTATCTCCTGAACTTTGGTGCCTTGCTGGTGGGAGTCGTGGGATCACCAAGGGAATAAACATGTATAAATGAGTAGTGGCAGGCAGATTAGCAAGGTAGCAATCAGGGGCTTAGGTGGGTTGTGTTTCACACCTGATTTTTTATGGACTCATGTTAAGGGACTTGTATTTTTTGCAGTAGACCATTGAGATGAGTTTCTCTTGTATGAAAGGTAGGGAACTGCTAAGTAAATTGATATTTCACATTGGTTTCCAAG